AATGGATTGTTTCTTTTATTTTTGTGTATGGTTAATAACCGAACCAAACCAAACCAAACCGAAACCGATAACCACCAAACCGATAAATGTATATTATATTTGGTTTGGTTTGGTTTTGATAATTTTAAAACCGATTAAGTTGGTTTGGTTTTGGTTTTGACCAATTACCGATCCAAACCGACCCGTGAACACCCTAATTCTCTGTATTTCAATACTAAGGTAACACTCATTTTGGGTTACATTGTTTTTGCTAAAAGCAATACTTATTTGAGAATAGAGAGAGTAATTTTAGTAGATACATGTCTATTGATGAAAAAAAATATATATAATCACTATTTATTCGACAATGGTATATAATATATATGCACAACTATTTAAAAGAAAAATATATTTACTTTAAATCACAAAATTAATAGGCAGATTTGAATCTCATTGTACGTATACTCAAGATCTTATGGCCATCAAGGATGGAACAAATAATTTGTTCTTCCTTAGATGGTCTTTTTAAGAATAACCATATATCAAATGCTTTACATGTTATAATGGAAAAATTGCATAAGTGAATCTCTTTTATTTAATAGTTACCACTTTTAGATATATTTTTATTTCATTACCATCTTTGTCAAATTTTAGAAATTCTCAAACAATTTTGTTCCTTTTATATGTAATTAAGGAATTTTTCAACTTAGCAAAAAGTATTGTATCTAATCGGGAACATTGCTCATTCCCTTTTCTTTCTACTCTTCTCTCTGTTTTATTCTAGGGTTTTGCCGTTCTTTTTTCTTCAATTTTCAGCACAGAATTCTAACGAAAGAAGGTAAACGAAAATCACTTAGAAGAAGTCTGCGGATACTTAGTGATGTTGATACTTTGAATCAAAAAGTTTATAGAAGGAGTCAGATGAGGGGTCAAATTGCGGATTCTACTGCTACAACGAAGTTAATGACAGTCTCAATTTTAATTTGAGAATTTCACAAGTATCGGGTGAGCAGAACAAGGAGGAGAGAATGCATATTCATTGTAAAGGTAAAAAAACGAGTTAAAGAGGTGAACAATGTGAAAACATCAAAAAAAAGATGCATTGATTTTGCATCTACGTCGAAGAAAATTATGGACAACAATGGCAATTTTGAGTGTTTACCTCCTCAATTTTAGTTAAAAAAAATTGAAAAATAAAGTTGTGCTAGAAGAAGATGCCAGTGAAGGATACAAAAACACGGAATCGATTGGCCAAAAATGTCATTCTACTGGAGAGTAGAGATCCGGTATTTGATAGTATTTTGAATATATTTCTATGTTTTTATTAGTTAGTTGTTGTTTAGGAATGATTTTATACTGATTATTGTCTTGCTTTGATACGTAGTATGTGTAATTCATCTTTAGTATGTAGTAATACATTATAATACATATGCAGGATCGTAAATTCTGGAAACATCCGGATGTTGAGTATATCGGGAGTATATGGTCATCTTACACTAATCATAGTGTCATCGACCAAATCAAAATCTCTTTATCTGAAAAACAACTTGACTTGTTCAGGAATACCTGTTTTGGTCACTTTCTTGACCTTCCAAAAGTGAACACACAACTCCAAGTTATTCATTGCTTTGTGAATAGGGAGTTAAAACACACTCCAGATGTTGTGTTTACTATTGAAATACATGACAAAAAGTTGTTTTTGGTCTTAGAGAATTTGGATTAGTTACTGACTTAAATTTTGTTAGTGATGGCACTCCTGTCAATGTTCTCGATTCTAAGTGTAATTTGTTGAGCAGTTATTTTTCGAAACAAATCACTAATCAAAAGAGTCATCTACGTGAGTTATTTCTAGCTAAAAATTCCATAGATGATGACTCCACTGTTTCATTGGTTGTTCTCTTCTTCATTAATGAATTTTTTTTTTCATATGAGAATAATGAACACCAAATTAACAATAGAGATTTTTACCTTGTGAAAAGTGGACAATTCAATTCATATCCGTGGGGTTTAGATGTCTACAAGGAGTTGTGTGATTCTGTGAGACACACATTTAAGTCGACCCATAAATACTATAGATTGGTTGCTGCTCTTCAAACTTGGATATTTGAGTGTAGTTCAAAAGTCGATGAAGATATAG